GGAAGTATACAATTCAAAGCTACTCTGATAATACATTGCAAGTTACAGTAGAATACAAGTAGTTCAAAAATATTAAAAAGGAAAAAAGTAGGGAGAACATAAAAAACGAAATTACCACATTGGTGCTAGTATTTTTAAATTCTTGAAATCACTATAAAAAAAATTGAGATTCAATTACAATTTACAACATTATATACTTTCTTTCCTTTGAAAAAAAAATTAAAAAACCAACTTCAAATCAAAGTACAAAGAAAGAATGCCTCAAAAAGCACCTCAACTCTTGCTAACATTAGCATGTACTGATGATCTACTATGATATATTTGTAAATATGAACATATTACGTGAAAAAGTGCACACTTAATAATTGAGATTCAACAATCAACACATTTTAAAAGAGAATATGACATTATTAATTAATGAAAAATTAACAATCAACGTGTACTCAAGGGGAAAATTACGTCATTACAACAATATTTTAGGAAAAAAATGTCAAATCTTCTTTCAACCGCAATCATTACTTTTAATCCAAATATCTACAACAATGGGAATAGTGTAACATGCATGATAATAGATAGTTTTCCAAAACAAGCAAAGAAAAAGTGAGAAGATATGAAAAGGATAACTTTTCACACTAAAAAGAGTCCATGTTACCTAATATGCAGAATTGACTTAATTGGTTACCTGCGCTACTGCAGCAGCAACAAAGTCATTCACTCGATCTTGAACATTGTAATCAAACAAGTTAATATCATCCTTCATATCAGAGATGGAATTAGTGTCGCAATTATTAACTGTTATAATAACTATATAATTTACCGAATATGTAAATTAAGGGGAATAAAAAAAAAAGATTACTTGAACTATTGGTGAAGCATCATTAACTTCAAAGTAGAAACCAGAAGGAGGTTCATAGTTCTCAGGGAAAGCACCAGCAAAAATCTGTGAAAATCAAAAAGGTAATCACAAATATGAAGTAACCAGAATCCTTCAAACATATTTTAAAGAAAGTAAAACAATAAAAATATCATATCATGAATAATTGTAAATTCTCATCATATTTGTACAGTTTGAGACTAGAAGACAAAGTAACATTTATCTACTTATACACTGACTGCTCGCATAATGTTACCTGAGCAGATGAACCAAGGGATTTAGAACCCTGCCAAACAACTTCAAGACTCTTCTCAATTTTACGCTTGGCTCTGTCTTGATAATCTATCCGGCCGAAAAAAAGTGAATCAAATCCAACCTACAGTGGCAGCAACTTGTCAATACTGCATAGAGAATTATTTCCACATTGAAGCTCCCCTTCGAAATGTGGTTCTAAATGTACTGTTATTAAAGTTTTCTTTGTTGCCTCAAAAAGGATTTCTTGATATAATAAAGTGCAGCTTACTTCTGCTCCCAATAGGTAAGCCTGCACAGCAGAATGGCCAAAGGGATCAATTTGCCAGCCAACTGTAGGAGTAACGCCAAATTCCTCCTTTATAAATCTATGCCCAAGGGTTGTTTGATCAATCATATCAATGTAGTGTGTTGCTGCCTCATCATGCATACACATGCCCCCATTTCTACATTGGGAAAATTAAGTAATTCAAACCGAAATGATAATATCGAATATTTACATTGAAAGGAAGAAGAAAATATCAACAAGCTCATCAGCTTCAAACATGGACACAAAAAGCAATAGTTATACATGAATTCTAATTGACCCGAGCCAACTAGTTTCTTGACTACATCCTGTACAATCTCACTCTGATCTCTCCACCATCTTTGGAAAAATGCCTGCATTAAAAAAAAACCAAGTAAAAGTGTAAATATTAGCAAGCAGAAGATGGAATATATTAAAAAAACAAACCATATTTTTAAAAATTGCCCTAAGGAAGAAACTTGATTTATCAAGAATTTTAGAAAAAAAAACGTCCAATTAACTGCCACTTCGCCAGTCTGTGATATTAACGGCCATGTATTTGACTTGTGACATAAGATATGATTAGAGAAGGTACACAAATACCTAGCACTCCCAAGTCCCAACGCGTATTGGCAGGAAATCATGCACTTCAGCGATCCACTCAAATCTATAGAGATATGCTTCTTGAATTTCCCAGACATTGTAATAAATAAACAAAAAACGTGTCTACTAGGGAGAGATTTCCACACCCTTACAAAGAAGGTTTCGTTCTCCTCCCAACTGATGTGGGATCTCACACCTTCTGTTCCTTGTTTTTTTTTTTTTCCATCTTTTTTTATGTGCTAATCCAAATAACCCTTATAATCTATAATTTTCCTATCTGCATATAACATTGAAACTCATCCTGTAGCAACAGTAATCAAGGAATAGACAAACAAGAATGGGGAAATCCCACCAAATTATGTGTCAGTTTTCAACATCTGAAGAGCTAGAGAAAAAAAAATGTCTCGACAACATCCCTTTTCTTTCCTATTGTTGTTCCTTTCCAATGTCATGGATTATTTCCTCATAACCCCAAAAATTATTACGCAGATACTGATTTGCAGAACTAAAACAAAGGAACAACGTGCCTGCTCAACATATATAAATTTTCGATTCTTGTCCGCCAGTAGAGCTGAAACCATAGAATCCAGCACATTCTGCACGCAAGCTCCCTGCGTTGAAAAAAGGGGGCGGGGTGTCAAATTTCAAAATCCAATTTCACGATCATTTCAAACGAATGGTCAGAAGAGAAACAAACCTGGATGGAATTGTTCGACCCAACATAATACTGATCAACCGTCTTCAACCATCCAACATCGTCATGAGTATGCGCCACCAAGTGAACATTAAGCTTCCCAGGAACAACAGTCTGCGAAGTATTATACACCATGAACTTCGATTCAGCGCCAAAAATCACCGATAGAAGGATCGCACAGAAAAACATCCCTAGCGTCGTCGCCATTGAGAATCAAACTGAACAAAATGAAGATTTCAAGCCCAATTCGAACAGTAAGAAAATCTAACAACAAATTGTTCTCAGTTAAATAGAGAAAACAGCTGCAATTGAGCTCGATTTCGTCGCAAACACTGGCATTTTCACAGCACTTATCACTTCGAAATCGAGTGATGCAGGGTAAAAATGGCGGAAGTTGAGTGGAGCTTGCTTGGAGTAGAGGTTCAGTCTGTCTCTATGATGATTTCAATGGAGAGAGGACCGCACACATGATAGAGACTTAGTAAAATATAACTAACAAAGTGTTATCCATTTTAAACTTTAAAGTGACACGTCATCTTTATTCATTATTTTATTTTGTCATTATCCATTTTAGAAAATAAAAACATTTAAATAATATTATATGAGTCTTTGATATTTATTTAGGCTCGACCTCACTATATTTCATATGAGAAAATTACATGTTTAAACTGTTTCTCGTTTAAAATCTTAATGTTTAGTCTATAATCATAGTCGAAACTCAAATAGGACTAGCCCTCGTGGTCTATGTTCTTTGGCTGGGGTCAGCCTCTCGAGCCCTTAGGTGACCACGTGGGGTCAATTTGGGCATATATGTTTTTATTATTGGTGGGTTCTTAGTCAAATTAACCGTTCACCCACAACAATTGTCCACGCTCTCTAAGTCAGATCTTCGTAGTTTAACGACATATTATTTTTCTAATTACATGTTTGGTTTTATCCCGTGAGTTCATTTACAGTGAAAGCTTATGTCGTTTATTGGGATCAACATTCGCTGTCAAGGTGTTTGTTAAGGCTAGACACCAGTCAGGCTCTAGGTTATAATGTCTTTGTTGAGATTATTATTTAAAAATATGATTAAATTAAAAATAAATTTATATGTAATATATATATTTAAGAAAAAAAAAAAAACCAAATGTGTATATTTAAGTTAAAGGATATTTTCATTGATTAAATTACTGTATAGATAACTAATATTAATATAATAAATATGAAGATAAAAATTTGAAATTTTCGAATTAAAAAAATGTATTAATGTATTGGGCTTTGTTAAAGCTTAGGAAAGCCCAAAAATTAGCCCAATGGGCTTGATGGGTCATTCCTAGGCCCAAACCTATTAACAGAAAAATAGATGGGACACATTGTATTTGGTTAAATATTATTACTCGAGGACAAACTACAAACCAAACCCATGTGCCCGACTCGGGAGTGGAGAATCAACGTTAAGGGTTACTTAGCTCCGTTGGATGATGAAAAGAGAGTAAAAAAAAAAAAAAAAAAAAGTCTACAACTTGGCTTAATCAGCTCTCTTGGATAATAAAAGTCTCACGTCGGATAATTTAGGGAATGATCTTAGGTTTATAATAAAAAAAATACTCTCTCCATTAGAATGTGACATTTTGGGAAGCCCAAAGTAAAGCCATGAGAGCTTATGCTTAAAGTTGACAATATCATACGATTGTGGAGAGTTGTGTTCAACTAACGTGGCATTAGAGTCATGCCCTAAACACGACAGATTGGTAAATCCTCAAATGTTGAACAAATGAATCCAAAAGAAAAAAGAGTCCAACCCTCCTCAAAGGCGTAGTAAAAAATGACTAAGACTCCAAAGGTGTCGAGCCTTGAATAAGGGGAGGCGTACTTTTTTCGAGGGGAGATGTTGGATGATGAAAGTCCCACATATGCTCAAAGTGGACAATATCATATCATTGTGGAGAGTCGTGTTCAACTAACAAGCTCAACCCAGGTTGAGTCAAGCTGAGTCGAGTTGACCCAAACTAGCTAAGTCGGTTCAAGCCCATGTGAACATCTCCTCACACATCGTAACCCCATGATTCACATAAGAAGTTTGATTTACCTCGATCCAATCCTCTTTGAAACGGGAGAGGAAACCGTAGACCATCCTTACATAAAATACCTCGTTAAACCTTGACTCGATCTCTAACCTTAAATGTTTTTTTAATTATTAATTTGTTTAAACATTTTTATCTAAATTTTGAAATCTAGCTTGATTCTTAAAAATTTAGGGAAAAAAAGGATTTTATTTATTTATTATAAAAAAAGCTTACCGCGTAGGCAAACACAAGCCAAGGTCAAATTTCTCCTGCAAATTGGGGAAAATAAAGCCGGTTCTGTCGCCTCCACTCCAATACTCCATATCCCTCGAACAGCTTCTTCCCAATTCATTTTTCGCCGCGGAAGGCTTCGATTGTTCCCCGTCGAAGATGCTGAGGGTTGCGGCTCGAAGGCTCTCTTCGCTCTCTTCTTCCCATTTCAGGCCCTCTATTGCCTCTTCCTTGCCCGGTTCTCATAAGATCGTTGATGGCGGTGATTCTGCCCCATCCAATGATTTCAGATCCGTCAGCTCTTTCAATACCTTCGCTTTTGGATCCAACTTCGCGCCTAGTTGTCGAGGTTACATTTTGCTCCCCTGTTCTCTGAAATACTTTCGTCTCTCTGCGCGTAGTTGATTTATGGCGTTTTTTAGGGTTTGTTTTGGTGGAGATATGATGTCTTTTGTTGAAATTTGTTTTTGGGAAGGGAAATCCTTAATTAGTATTTGACTTGTAGTTTTGTTACTTGCTTGTGTTGCTATAATCATGTTTTGCCGTAGATGGGGATTGATAATGGTCTTTACGGATCTACTGTTTAGTTGCATTCATGATGATGAATCATGTTTTGCGTACTCATTTTTCATTGTAAATTTGAGGGTTGTTTACGGGATTTATGTTGGGGCATCATATCACTTAGTCGAATCAATCACTTCCTATTGGAGTTCATGTTTGAATCTTCCAGAGTTGGTTTTCAAAGTTCTTAACTTGTTGTTACCATCATGTTTGCATATTCGTTTCTCATTCTGGAAATATTGTGAAAACGTGAAATGTTATTTAAAAACCGTATTTTCTTAGCAATACGATGATATCTCTCTGTTGAAGCAGCCCCTTTTTCGTTTATTTTAGAATCTTTTCACCGTTGCTCTACAAATTTTACAAAATTTTAAACATTTTTTTTTCTTGTAAATATTTTTTATTCTTTCTTTCATTTTCCTTTCATTGAAAAGTGTGATTTTAGCCCATTCGAGTGCATAAGTTTTAAGTGTGAGTTTTCTTTTCTACTTTTCCGTTAAAACAAATTAGTTTAAGGTTTTCTGTATTATCTGTACCGATAAAGTTCAGAGCATTCGTCCATTTTAAGCACTCATCCAATCTTGATAAACGGATGATATGCAACATTGTAGAGGGAGTATAGTAATTATTTTCCTTACAAAAGAACATTCAGTGCACTAATTCATTTTTAATAAACGGATGTTATACGGGCTGCAGTGATTGGGGTGTAGTTTATTGTTATTGGAAGAATGGATTTGTTATTTACAAACTTTAAGCAGTTGTCTTTTTATTATTATTATTTTTTCTCCCGTTTGGATTGTATTTCTTTCTTTCTCATCTTTTATTATCATATCTTGATCAACAGATAGTAGGTTGCAAACAAAACTTGGCATTGAAAACTTTTTTTTTTTTTTTGAGATGAGAAACAACTTTTTATTGATACCTAAGGAGTTACGATGGTACTAAAATATTAGTAATAATAATAATAAAAAAAACTCCATTTAGGAGCTTGTTCAAAGGAATCTAGCTACTTGAAATAACATTTACAAAAGGGCCGAGATTTTGAGAACTTAGGCACCTAAAAAAGAAGCGTTTGTTATAAACACCAAAGATCGGGCATTTCCATAGTCCACACCCTTATGGACCATACAATTAGAAAGACGGAAAGAAAATAAATGAAAGTCAAAACCAGCAAGAGCAGGTGACTCAAGGTATGCCATTGCCCTTCTCTCTTGACAGACACTTGAGACTTCGTTGGGGGAGGTCGAGTTTCATAAACAAGGAGAAGAATTTATAGTTATTAAAAGTTTGTATTACTTGGTTGAACAGCATTGCTCTTGGGCGTTGAAATTCTATATTAGCTCATTAGCCATGATGTGATCATGGGCTTATTGTGGTCTTTTGGTTTGTGTTATAGAGGTCTATGAAGTTGTGTTCCCATGGTTGCTAGTGCCAATTCTAATAGGCTCGTATCAGGCCATAAGAACCTCGTAGGTGCAAAATAGTGCTAGGAAGAACCATCCTCAGCCCATCATCCTACACCTTAGCAATGGTTTCATACAAGCTAGTTCCAAGCTGATTGGTATATAATCCAAATCTCTCGTGATCAGAAGCCAATGGAACCATCATGGCTGAGAACCTTACTATTGATTGTTATCAAAGCTGAAATCATCGAGCCTTTAACCTTTTCTACCCTTCTCTAGAATAGGATACTGATTAAAACCTTCCTCAAACCTTTATGCGACTGATTACTGAGTTTTATTTCCTAATCTTGTATGTAAGTCTTCAATAGAAATGTCGGCCAGAAATTTGTTAGCACTCTCTGGAAACAGTTTGAGGCCCGCTTATAACTTCCCCTGGAGAATGTGTACTAGCATGTTATTATTTGGTGTTGTGTTTGTTTGGTACTAATTAGATGTTGAACATTCTGCCCAAGGCAATTGATTGGATGACTGCATTTCAATCGTATTTTGTGATTCAGCTCTTTTGTTATGAATGATTCTTTCTTTCTCCTGTAGTGAAATTTTATGATTGAATAGAATAACTCTTTGCTAGGTTTCGCTTCTGATGCCTTGACTTCAATGGGCGAAAACAACTTAGTTCCAGATGTTCCTGCAACTGTTGCAGCCGTTAAGAACCCTACTTCAAAGATAGTGTATGATGAATACAATCATGAGCGATTTCCTCCGGGTGATCCCAGCAAGCGTGCATTTGCCTATTTTGTCTTGTCAGGCGGTCGGTTTGTCTATGCTTCTTTGATTCGCCTCCTTGTTCTCAAGTTTGTTCTTAGCATGTCAGCCAGTAAGGATGTTCTTGCCCTGGCCTCACTTGAGGTTGACCTCTCAAGCATTGAGCCTGGTTCTACTGTGACGGTTAAGTGGCGTGGAAAACCAGTCTTCATCAGGCGACGAACTGAAGATGATATTAAGATAGCAAACAGCGTCGACATTGGATCTCTTCGTGACCCACAGCAGGATGGCGAGAGAGTCAAGGATCCAGAATGGCTCATCGTTATTGGTGTTTGCACACATCTTGGTTGCATTCCCTTGCCAAATGCCGGTGATTTTGGTGGGTGGTTTTGCCCGTGCCATGGTTCCCATTACGACATCTCCGGTAGGATCCGTAAAGGACCAGCGCCATACAATTTGGAGGTACCCACCTATACCTTTTTGGATGAAAACAAGCTTTTGATTGGTTAAGAAATCAAGCTCTTTTTCTGGGTTTGTAGTAGTGGTTTGGAACAATCATCTATGATAATGTCTCGAAGATTTGTTGCAGGCATTTTATTATTTTTCTACTCAAATTCTGATTTGATGTTTATGTATGAGAAAACTGTAACTCCCGTATATTGGTGGTGCATGAATGCATCTGAATAAGTTGCTTTGCTTGAATGGGTGTTTCCCCCATGAAGTAAGATCTTCTGATTTTGGGAATAGACTTGATAGTGAAATGGAAACTAAAATTTCTTTGTATGATTTGTATCTACAATTGCTATACAAGTTTACAAAATTTTCTTCAGTTGAGCAGATTTAATTTTAAATTTTATTTTCGAGTTCTAATAACATCTGAGGTGGATGGATTCGAACATTTGGTTGCATCTCATTTGGATTGATCGATTGATTGAGTTTTTGAACTTTAGCGTTTGATGTAACTCATGAGGATTCCTTCGACTATATGGTAAACAGGACAACCTAAAAACAATGTGTTTGTATTACTTGACGAAGTAGTGCCTTATCCCAGGTTTTTTTTTTGCTCTTTCTATACATGTTTGTTTCTCTTCCTTCTTGGCTCTTCTTATCATCGTTGCTTTTGTTTCATTTTCTTCTGGCTTTTCTTGTGTATTATCCGAAACAGTCAATTCTGTGTTTTTCCATATCCAAGGTCTAAAAAGCGTTTTTATTATTCTGGGAATATCAAAAGAAGACAAAACATATTTGACTTGTCTTGTTTGAAACTAAAAAAGATAAGAACATACATTTGTTTGAAACTGTTTGTAAATACATGTTTTACGTCTTTGACAATGTATAGAGCCTTTAATTACGTCTCGACAAAATTCCTATAGTTAGAATGATTTGTTAGAATTATCAATATCTTGGTTTGTGATATCAATTATCAATACCTTGATTTGTGAAACTAAAAAATGTACCGTTTCATGCTTTTATTTGTGTATATATATATTTTGTAAAAACAAAAACCATATGTATTGAATATGTATTTAATATTTTTCTTTGAATTATCAATATCTTGTTTTTGAGAGAAAATAAAATAAAATAAAGCTAGAGAGAAATTATTAGTTAGAGAAATGAAAAGGGAAAGATGAAAGAGATAATTCTTTGAGTGAAAAAAAAAAGATTAAATGAGAAAAAAATGTTGTTGTGAGAGGAAATTCAGGTAGAATTATTGAGAAAAATATTAAAAATATATCTATTAGGAAAAAAAAAGAATTTAATATTTATAATAATCTATTGGGAAAAAAAAATCAAAATGAATTTAATCAATAAATAAAAGGAACAATAAGCATATTATTCCTATTCAAATAAAAAAAATAAAAAATAAAAACCCCACATTTAGTTTATTCGCTATCAAAAATTGGTCAGAATTTCCTTAAAAATATTTAAATTATTATAACTATCAATATATAAAATAGTAAAAATAAAAAATAAAAATAAAATTATAGGCAGGAATGTACACATTAAGTTAGTCTGTGGTTCAACCCATACTTCTTAAAAGGTTAGATTAAGTTGTCGGTAACATTTTTTAATTATTAAATAATATTATAAATATTGATTATAAATCTTAAATATTTTTTAATATTTATAATAATTAAATATTTATAATATTTGAAGGATGGAATGGTAAACTACTTTCCGGATGTGTAAGAAAAATTATTAGTGAGCCGAGCCGAGCCGAGCCGCCAAGTAAAATACACACGAGTTTAACGGTTCCGAACAACGTCTGCATCTCTCTCTTCTTTCAATGGCCATTGGGTCTCTGTTTCAGTGCCTCTCTCTATCTCTCGCAGTTCAGCCTCCGCAATATTCTGGATAACCCAAAACCCTATCTCTCACTCATTCACGCTTCCGCTTTACTTCTTCTTTTCATCGATTACACTTTCCTATCGTTTTGTTTCAGAATTCTCACCCATTCTTCACTGCCATTTCTTGCACTTTTCCATGTTTTTGCGGCCATAGGAGCTTCGTTTTGAGAATATTCAAGGTTTTCTCAATCTTTATGTTTCTTTCTGTTGCTCCGACTGTGGGGTTTTTTGTTTTAATTCTAGTGAGTGTTTCTTTTTCTTGTTTTTCCTCCAGTTGCATTGCTCTGACTCTTAATGCGACCTCTTTGTTTTTCTATTGGTGTGGAATTTGTTTTCGTTGTAGGCTGAGGCTTTGTTGTTGTTGTTGTTTTTTTATGAAGAGGAGGAAGAAGGCTTTTGGTTTGTAATTTGCTAGGTTATTTTTTTACGGGTTTGATTGGTGGTGTTTATGTATTGTTGTTATTAGGAATATTGATTGATGGTTTGTGTATTGTTTGTCAATGGAGGTTGAAGGCTACTGAAAAATGCATTTTGAATAGTTTATTTTTTATTCTTCGAACTGTTAAATCCATGTTTTTTGTTTCGGAGACTTCAGTATGATTTTAAAGCTTTTCTCCATGTTTGTTCGAGTGAGGTTTTCTGTACTTACTATGTATTCAATGCTTGTTTGTAATATAACCATTTTGATTGACATGTGCTACGATGAGAATAAAAGGTTTATCACTTTTCTTTTTCGATATTTTAAAAATATGGTATGCTAATGATCATCTAATCTGTGAAATAAAATTGAAAATTTAGAGGGCTAATTGGCTGCCTGAAATTGGATGTTACATTTGATCAATAAACGACATTTTAAAAAATGTTTTCAATTGAGTTTATGTTTCTCTACTTAAGATTGTATATGGCTGTGATATGTTCTCTCATGACATGGGATGTTATGCCAGTTACTAGTTAAAGAATAGTTTGATCTTGGGAAAGATTTTGTTGAAGCCCCATCCCTGAAATTAACTCAGGCTTGATGATTTTACAGTATTGAAAGGTTCACTAGTTGATTCATTTTTCAGGCCTCTCATAAAAGTTGTAGCTGCACTATCTATGTGCTAGTATGTTGTCTTACTGCAACTTGTTCTGATACTTGATTAATGGCGGCCAATCAACGGAGAAAAAGATTGAGTTCTGCCAGTGTAGTCGGTTACAGTACGAGGGATTCATATAGAGTTAGAAAAAAGAATTCTGCATTGCCGCACAGTGATGCAAACTTAAGATCCCATATTACTCTGGTATGGGATGGGAGTAAAAGAAGAGTTGTTTCTAAAAGGGAACAAGTTGGCCTAAGTTGGAGAAAATTAAGACCATTTGTCGATTCAGTTTCCAATAAACACAGTATCTTAGCTGACGTTTTTGATGTTCCTCGTGAGATTTTTGAGTTGAAAAATTTATCAGAAGTCCTTTCACTTGAGGTAGCAATATTTTTGTGGTTAGGCCTTGTTATTTGTATTGAAGCATCACTTTCGCTTTTGTATTTCTTTTTATTCATTTGGCCTTGAATATATTACAGGTTTGGCAGACGTATCTTTCAGAAAATGAGAGAAACAATCTGAGGAGGTTTCTTCCTGAAGAACAAGAAAATGAAAATGGTGTGATGGAAGCATTGTTTTCTGGGGATAATTTTCACTTTGGAAATTCCCTTGTTAAATGGCGAGTTTTTCTTTCTTTCTTCTTCTTCTTTTTTATTTTATAAATAACAAGCAAACACTTCCATTAAAAAAAAAAAAAAAAAAAAAACCATCAACTGGGCTGGGACAGCCTAATGCACAAATGGACAACAGCTTTAATTGGAGGGATCTTGATGGCTATGAAGTAACTGTTGTTTATCAAAATATGTACTTGCAGGGAGTCTTCACTTTGCTCTGGTGCTCTGCACCCCGATGCAGTTCTTCAAGATGAACAGTGTTTAATGGCAGCTAAAAAATCGTATTCCTGTGAGTTACAGAAGTATCATAACAAGTAAGAAGTGTACTGAATGTTCAATCTGTAAAATTGCCATTTTTAACTTTATAATTTCAGCAATGTATTCTTAACTATTTGCAATATCACTATGATTTCAACAATTTATTCTTAACTATTGAAATATCTCTATTTTCTGTACGCCTTTCAATGGTGTGTACTATAAACTGAAGCATGTTGTTGCTAATACTAGTTCCTACTTGTGGCAGTATGATTGAATATCTGCAGAAACTGAAGGATCGTTGTGCAAACTGCAAAGATCCAGAGAAGGAAATCATACATCCAACATGGAGGTTACCTTTTCTTTTTTCTTCTTTCAAACTCATAATTTTGGACCTTTTGCACTGATAGAGTTTGAACATCAGCTTGGATAATATTCTGCTTATTGTTGTAATGAAGGATATTAAAAGCTGGTAGGTGGCATATAGAATTGCTTCATCTCTTTAATCGTTTTCCCGATTAATTCAATTGCATTACCCTTTAGTGGTTATTGCTTATAAATTACCAATTTTTAAAACATACTATTGATTTCTTTTCAGTCTTCCGCACATTTCTTGATTTTTTGATTGATGGTCAAGGTTAGCATTCAATAATAAATCTTGGAATGGAAAGAAGTTAATTAGTAAATATTTTAATTCGGACCCTGCCTGCCAATTGTGTCCATTTAAACAGAATGCCAAAGTATTTCTTGTCAAACGAAAAAAATACAAGACATTTGTCAGATATATTCGGGAAGTGGATCAAGATATTTGTCTAAGTATTTCTGAGTGCTTCCATAAGATTTATCACTCTTTTTTGTTAGATTACAGCTTCAACTGTCTTTTTCGTTTTCCTTTTTTGGTTTTTTTTTTGGGGGGGGGGGGGGGGGGGG